AGAAAAAGGACAACAACATTTGGTTGGATGGACCAAAGAAACTAATACATGTGAAATGGTAATATATTACTCTCCTAGATAGAAACAAGTCATAACAAACAAGTACTGGAATGTGTACACCTCTGGTTCCCGTATACTGGGAGTACCAGTATTCATATTTAGGCTTCACTCCTTAACTTGGAACATTTTGAAGAGAACAAAGGACAACATGAGAATGAATCCGCACCAAGTTTACTGTATAATTAACATAAACAGAATCATTTATGACCCTAAGGAATATATAATAGGATTCTAATGAACAATTCCTATGTATGAAGAATTGGTGAAAGTCCTTGGCCAACTGTGGTCGGGTTCAGTCCAGACACCTTTTTTTCTGGGATGTCCAAGTTCTGCTCATCCTCTTCTGAGAATTCCATCTTGTTCTTGTTTTTCACCTGTGCTGTGATACAGATACACTGCCTTGTACTGGAGCCTTTAGAACTCCTGGCAATTTTTTTTTTTTTCCTGGTTGCAAAAGTAAACCTTTTTTTTTTTTGAGACGGAGTCTCACTCTGTCACCCAAGCTGGAGTGCAGTGGCATGATCTTGGCTCACTGCAACCTCCGCCTCCCGGGTTCAAGTGATTCTTCTGCCTCAGCCTCACCAGTAGCTGGGACTACAGGTGCGTGCCACCACGTCTGGCTAATTTTTGTATTTTTAGTAGAGACAGTTTCACCATACTGGCAAGGCTGGTCTCGAACTCCTCACCTCATGATCTCCCCACCTCGGCCTCCCAAAGTGCTGGGATTATAGGCATGAGTCACTGCGCCCAGCCACAAAATTAAGCTTTGATCAAAGATTTTACCAAGAGTAATTAACCTTTTTTTTTTTCTGAGACTCACTCTGTTGCCCAGGCTGGAGTGCAGTGGGGTAATCTCGGTTCACTGCAAGCTCCGCCTCCCAGGTTCAGGCCATTCTCCTGCCTCAGCCTCCCTTGCCCAGCTAGGTTTTGTATTTTTAGTAGAGACGGGGTTTCAACCGAATTAGCCAGGATGGTCTTGATCTCCTGACCTCGTGATCTCCCGCTCCAGCCTCACAAAGTGCTGGGATGACACGCATGATTACTTTTAAAAAAGAACATACATGGCTGGGCACGGTGGCTCACGCCTGTAATCCCAGCACTTTGGGAGGCCGAGGGCAGGCAGATCATGAGGTCAGGAGTTTGAGACCAGCCTGGCCAACATAGCGAAACCCCCG